TTAAGTTACGGTGGCCAATTTACCATTTCAACTTTGTTGATATATCCAATTTCTTTGCGAAAGATCTTGAATTTTCCATTCTGAATTTAAATGCAGCTTTACTTTAAAATCTTCTTCTAAACTATGTGTTGACGACCCTCGAAGTTCAAACGGTAGCTAAACAAGCCGGAAGCTTTTTTTTTTCACGTTTACCTTCGTTGCAAAGATTCTTGCCACAACATCGCACCTGACAAGCATTACTTGGTTCGTCGCAACCAGCGAAAAATTTTCCAGTGTTGTTACAGTGTAAGTTATTGGTGCATCCATACTCAAAGTGCTTAGTGACGCTGGATCCATCCTGTGAAGTTTGCTGCATCGAGGCATAGTAACAGCGATCATCCTTTGAACTCCTACAAACGTGTTCTTGGCGTCTCTTTTGGCATTCGTCGTGAGAAACCGTGCTGCTGCATTTGAAACAACTCAACTCCGACTCTACAATGAAAAAATTTGCTTCATTTAAATGCCCGAAGGATGCCTATAAAGAAAAAAGCTTAAGTTATAATTACCTTTATTACAAAAGTTATCGTCACAGCAGTCCACAAATGATTTATCGGACGTGGCTTCGCAGTCTTTAGTTGTGGCGCATCCTTTATAAAATGTTTGGTGGTTGCCATTGCTGGAATACTCGACTTTAACACAGCGGCTCCTCGGTAATGTACAGGTCACTTCTGTTTGCTTCCTGGCACAGCCAGCAAATGATACATTGCTTGTGCAATGATAACAGGTGATATCTGAATAAAAAAATTATATATGTATATAGCCACATGATTTCTTTCTGCGATGTAGTGGCAGACATTTCGCTACGTGAAGAACTGGTACAACAGTCTTCACCGATGAATTGTAGTTCATTTCAACCATTTCGTTGAAAAAAAGAGAACCTTGAAAAAGATCAGGCCTCTTAAGGATTCAACCCACGCCATGCCTCAAACTTACGTGCTGTTGCCAGAAAGACGATGAAACCAAATATCGAAAAGGAGAAAGATTGACCTTGATTTCGAATTTTCCCGTCAAATTGTACTGTTAAATTCAACCTCTAGATCTTTGGTCCTTTCATTATTTCGGGAACGTTTGGTAGCCAGCTTTGCACTGAGGAGAAACATGAGTTACGTTTACCTTTATTGCAAAGGTTGTTTTTACAGCATTCAACAGTGTCCTTCATTTCTTCTGTACACCGATCTGCTGATGTACAACCTTTGTAGAAAACAGCAGCTTGTTCATCGTTATCTTGAGTTGAATTTCTTTCTTTGGAGCAGTAATTTTGTGGAAATGAACAGTTGACTACAACCTGTTGTGTTTCACAATCGGCAAAAGAAGTCTCACTTGAGCACTGAAAACATGCAATACCTGGCAAAACAAATTATCATTTGATTGGTTTACGCGTTGTGCCTGTGTAATTGGACAGTATGCCCGCGACATTAACGGATGCTGTTGGCTTGATTATTGGAGTCGTTGTTTTCAAGGAAAAAAACTCCAAATTGATGTTTTTATGGAAATTTCATGTTATTTCCTTAATAATTGTTTTGATTTATTTGTTTATTCCTGGCCCATTTCAGTGGCAAGCTGGTTTGTGTGATATCGATAAAAGGACTTTATGTTACACCTGTGATCGAAAGATCACTTGTACGAGTGCGGACCCGTTGGAATCTAGTCGGGAAGGCTTTCGCAATTTTCTGGAAAATCATTTTTGCACGTACCGTTGGCCGGCCGTTCACAGATATGCGGAAACCACCGATCGCACACCTGGTCTTTCCAAAAACCAAAATACTTTTTAGCGCCCACGACCACACAATCCTCCCTATCGTCCCCGTTGTCAGGCTGCCTCGGTGCCCAACTGGTGAAGTTGACGGTACTGTTATCCACTTGCCATACAAATCTTCCTTCGTGTTGGATGTCGCTGAGGCCAATCCATACGTACTAGAGAAGAAAAATTCTTCTTTAGCTTGCGCTATCCGTTTGGGTTTGACAGGACCCCATACTCGGTGCAAAGTGTTTACTGTACCAAGTTAAGTTAGAAATATTTCATCTCATCCGAGCAATCCAAGGTAAATTAGAAGACGAAACAATACATGGCAGCTTGAAAGATTCTTATTTATTTATTCTTGCCTGGGCGTGGTTTTTCTCTCGATATTTTTTAACTCGAATTTCTGAGCAGTATTTTAAAAAAACCAAAGCAAATCTAGGCCTCTACAGCCTTTTACAACAACTCCAGCGATATAGAGGCCTTACAGGAGGTGGGGGTCTAAGTATTCCATACCCTAATAATATTAGAAACAAATATCCCATATTCCATTAATTCCTGTGGTTTGTATCGCTATACTTCCAGTTCGATATCCCAGAAACTCTATTGTAAATATCCCATATACCGTTGATTTTTTCCTCGAATACTCCGTGTCCCTACAATTTTCCAATTTCCAGGAAAAAACAATTGAAAGAAAAAGCATAAATTGTCTAGGGTAAATAGCTGTGGAAAACGCTGTGGCCCTACCGGACCCCTTGTCGAGGGGTCTGGTCCCGAGACCTTTCCGGGTCCTGTGTTGTGTTCTTGGGTAAAATATTTTATTTTCACAGTCCTTCTCTCCATCCTGGCGTATAAATACGTACCATCGATTTGTCATGGAGGCTTAATGAAATGCTACTCCTAGTCCCTCCATGTTGGGGAAACCGGGATAAGCTTTGGATGGGTGGGTCACAAAGGTCAAGGGCTGACTTGAATTTTAGTTTAAAGACATCTATGAGCAGTCAACTATTCATTGATAACCTTCAGGGTTATTATCGGTAGTTGTATCATTATTACCTCGTATGATGTTGTAAGTCCTGTGATGCGGAGGAACACGTTTAAAAAATTCTTCTCGGATGCATCGTCTATTTTTATCA